AGGTTCTTAACCATCTAAATCCCTCGAACTTATGGGAAAGCCAAGAAAAGACAACCAAAAAATTTAGCTACAAAAAATGTAATACAATCAGATACAAAAAGGAGATTATAAGAACTTAGCTTAAATTTCAACATCCTTATTAATGCCTAGAATAAGCCTATGAAACCACTTGAATTTGAATACCATAAACAACCCTTATAAATCAACAAACATAAAGAATTAACAAAAATTCAAAAATAGAACACCAAAAATCAGTATTCCCAGATAGAACTGAGAATGAAAAATAAACAAAATTGTATATTATGAAGATTTCGTGAATCCATCTTATTACAATCACGGGAATGAAAGTTTCATAAGCCTTTTAACTATTGAAATTGAACCATTTTTAATGGTAATTATATCATTAACAAAATAAAAGAGTGTGATGCTCAAATGACATTTAGTTTTATAATGCTTGGAAGAAAATTTATTAAATAATTTAGATAAAACCTAAGAGATAGTACCCATTCATTAGGTAATAGATAGTACCGTTGGGGAGAGGGGTTTCCTTGTCATAACCTCTAGAGGACTTGAAAAGAATTGCATTATAACCATTAATGAAAATAAAGAACCAATAACTATTGATACAAGAAAAAACTAAATTAGTAAAGAAGTTCAAGAGAAATACCTAAGAATCAAAAGAAGAAAACTCCAACTTACAGCACCACAAGCTTCAGAAAGATCTGATTTGACAAAAAGGATAATCATTGAATTTAAATCATTTATGAGTTTTGGGCAAAATAAAATTATCTTTAATAATCTTTCCTTTAATAAAACCATTTTTATTAGGAGAATAAATTTTCGGTAGAGTATTGAGGATAATTTTTTTTATCATGATTTTAAAAATAACTATGTCAAAATAAAAAAGGGTTACTCTGATGAAAGTGAGAAACTAAAAATTAACTAGGGGAAACTTTTTTGTTTCAAAATACCCTGAACTTATGATAGATAAGAATTTGTTTACATAGACTGATCTATCCAATCGTATTGTGAATCAAAGCATATGCAACTTGTCACTAGTGGGTGGTTCATTGGAGTTTCTAACAAAGATCTCCTTTACTATAGTGAATGGCTTATAATATTTAATTTTTATTATCGATTGAAGATCTCTCTTAGAGACAGATTGCAAGACGATTCAGTTAAATGTTGTAGATATGAGAATGATCCGGTCAATAAGTAGCTTTAGTTTTAGAGATAGAATGCAAAATGAATATGTATGTGAAAAAATTGGAGTGGCTCCGGTGGCATATAAGATTAGAAAAAGTTGCCTTAGATGGCTTGATCACGTAAAACATCGACTTTATGATGACCCAATTATGAGGGTAGATGTATTAGATTTGGCTTATGTTATAAAAAAAAGAGGTAGATGTAAAAAAAACTTGGTTAGAAAATACTAGAAATAAAATTTTTATTAGATTTTGTTTGCTCAAGAAAAACGGCACGAATCCCACTTTGCAGTCGTAGGATTCCATTTCCCTTAAGTCAGATTGTAGTTAACCAAATTTCCCCTGAGGATAATGTCAGGGTTTATAGATCTGGGGTCCTTACTTCCTAAGAGCACAAGCACTCATAGTTAATTACCCCTCTTACTACGTCAGAGAGAACTCTCGATTAAGGATGAATAAATTTTTAGATAATTTCAATCTCAAAAGTAGGGGAAGTGGAGGCAAACCCAATCAAGATCCCATGTTTCCATCGTCCTCTAGTCTACCAACACTAACAATGATTGACCGTAGTGTCGAGGGAATCTGATTAGCAGCCATGGGTTGCCTCATCTCAGGGATCCCGAGTAGATTGAAGTGATTAGATGTGAGTTTTAATTTTAATTTTGTTAGGTGTTTTGGGGTTTACATCAATTAGAATACCAAGAGATTTATTTAATTTGGTATTTATTGCTTCATTTAGAAGTAACCCAGAAATTTGATTTGGAGCGGGTCTTATGGCTTTTTTAGGAAGTAGCCCATGGATTTAAATTTAGGTTGGGACTTACGGCTTTCGTAGAAAGTAGCCCGGGTATTTAGATTTAGGTTGGGACTTACTGTATTATTTATGAGTTGCCCGGAGGATGGGTCTTACAACCTAGCTCTACAACGAGGCTGTCTGGAGGTTTTAAATTATTTGGGGTAGGACTTATGGCTTCCCTTAGGAAGTAGCCTGAAAAGCGGATCTTACAATCCTTTAGACTAAGATGCCAATATGTTTGAATTTTAGTTTGATATAATTTGGGTTGGGTCTTATGACTTCCTTAGAAGTTGCCCATTAATTTATTTAGTTTAGGGCTTATGACTCCAATTAGGAGTTGCCCACTAGTGGGTCTTACAACCAAACCCTATAGGCTTAGGATACATATAGGTTTTAAATTATTTGGATATGACTTATGGCTTCCCTTAGGAAGTAGCCTGAAAAGCAGATCTTACAACTTAATCGTTTAAACTAAGATGCCCATAGGTTTCAATTAGATTGTTTGGGTTTTAGGGTCATTACAATTTATTTAGAAATTTTTCTAAAATATGGGACTTACGACTTTCGTATAAAGTAGCTTGCTAGCGCGCTACAAGGAAAATGCCCTATTACCGTCAAATTTTTTCGGCAGACAAATGTACGTCGGAAATTGCGACACAGTTTCAGGCGGATATGTTCGCCGGAAACGTTACGGCAGACTTTCCGGCGGTCTGGCCACTGCAACATTACCGATGACTAATGTGCCTATTTTGCGTCAGTTTTATAACTTTATCGGGGCATAGTCCGCCGGTAATTACCGACGGATGTATCGACATATTTTGCGTCAGCTTAACTTAAACACGACGAAATAATACTGGCAGATGATCCACCGGTAGACGTACCATCAGATAGTTCGCCGAAAATACGCTAGTAATTATCTTATATCGGACGAGCCATAGGGCTGCCTTCTCATTTCTCTATTCGTGATTTTCGACCTCCGATTTTGTTCCTCCATCGTTCCTCCCCTTCGACGCTGTTCGACTTCGCTTCTTCGATCCTTATTCGACACTATTCGACTTCACTCCTTTGACGCTGTTCGACTTTGCTCTGATGGCTCCGATGCTGTTCGACTTTACTTCTTCGTTGTGGTTCGACTTGCTCCTTCGACAGTGTTCGACCTCACTCCTTCATCACTGTTCGACTTGCTCCTTGGTCGCTGTTCGACTTTGCTCCTTCAAAGCCGCAACTTGCTCTTTAGTAGCCATTCTTCGACTTTGGTCTTCGACATCGCTCCTTCAAAGCCGCAACTTACTCTTAAGATGTTAAGTATCAAGGCAGAATATAATGTCCCCCAGTGATTGTTTTAATAAATTCTTTAGATTGCTCAAAGAAACCAATCCAACAGATAATATAATTCATACAGATTTATATCGAACTAAGAAGTTGGTTTCTAAACTTGGTTTAACATATATAAAGATAGATTGTTGTGTCAATGGATGCATGTTATTCTATAAAGATTTTCAATCAGATGTTGCATGTCTTTATTGTAACGCATCGAGATTTAAACCAAAATCTATCACGAAAAGAATGCTAAAGGAAGTACCAGCCAGTATGTTATTTTACTTTCCCATAATTCTAAGATTGCAACGATTATATGCTTCAATGAGATCTGCAGAACATATGAGATGACATAAAGAACATATCTCACAAGAAGGTTTTATTACACATCCATCAGAAGTAGATGCTTGGAAACACTTTGATCGTACAAATCCCACCTTCTCCTCAGAATCAAGAAATGTAAGATTAGGTTTATACGCAGATGATTTTACTCCATTTAGTCAGTCTGCTTCACCTTACTCATGCTGGCCCGTCATATTCATACCATACAATCTTCCACCAGAGTTATGCATGACTACACCTTATATGTTTATGAATCTTATCATTTCAAGGTCACATAATCCAAAAATAAGATTGATATATTCTTACAACCATTAATTGATGATTTAAAATTATTATGGGAAGAGGGAATAAGTACATATGACATCTCCACCAAACAGAACTTTATTATGAGGGCAACATTTTTGGATAATTTGTGATTTTCCCGCGTACGGTATGCTCTCATGATGGAACACTTTTGGAACTTTAGCTTGTCCTCTTTATATGGAATATATAAAGTCTTTCACTTTAAAGCACAGAGAGAAGAACACTTTGTTCACATAAAAGATTAGTTGTTCTCTATAACACAAGCACAATTATTAATATGGAAAAGTTTTAGTTTTTCTTAAGCGAATTTTTACAATCCTCACCAAATAATTAGATTTAGATACAAAATTTGAAATCTGAAAAAATTGAATATTTAAATTATAAAATTAGAAATTTTATTTCTTTATTAAAAAATATATATATATATATATAATTTCCCAACCAATTCCGCCGTCCCGAGGCAGCCGCGTCGTCCGTTGTCCCGAGGCAATTCGTTGTTCGCCTGTTTTTCTTCGCCGGCGAGATTTGGATTTTGGCTGAAATAGGTGGGGTCGGGTTGACCCGAACCCGAAGCGGTTCGGGTTCGGGTCCAGAAAATCGACCCGTTTGAAAAAACGGGTCGGGTCGACCCGAACCCGAATAGTACCGGGTCAATTTCGGGTTGACCCGAACCCGACCCGTAACCCGAAATTGACAGGTCTAATTAACATATTATATACATGAAATTATTATTGTGAAGTCTAGGCTTGACGTCATTTTAAAAGTGAAAGTTCTTTAAATTATAAAAATATGACCACTTTGAAAAAAAAAATATTTATAAAAATGAATAAATTTAAAGCACAGAATCAAAACCTTGAAACCTTCTTTTATTGGAGAAATTGATGTCTTGATTTTATTAATCATATCAAAACAAACATCTAATATACCCAAGTTGGGAAACAAAAAGTCTAAAGCCCGAGACAATTATCACAATTCACTAAACAATTACAGCACAGCTTAGTAGAACGGAAGTTAAAGAAAAAAAAAAATACAAAGCATTAAATTGGATCAATATCCGGTAAGTCCTTAATCTCTTGCAGCAACCACAGAAAGTAATCAGCTTCTCCAACTTCTGGGTTAGTATGAGGCACGGCGTCAATCTGCTCCATTGCCGCTTCCGAAGCTTCGGTAACCACAGTTTGTTGCTCCAGTAAAAATTTTTCGTACAATCTCAACTCATCGTCTCCCATTGAATGCAAGTCAACATCCCACCAAAAAGGCTTCTGGACTAATTGATCATCGTTGATAAGTTCAGAACAATTTGTGGATGCCGGCGACAAAGTGTCGGATGGGCCAGAAATATTGCTGAGAAAGCGGCGGAGGACATGGTCGACCGAAGGGTGGCCAAAACAGTAAGGCTTGCCAGTGAGAGAGAACACGACGACGGCAACTTCGGCCCCGCATAGAGTGGAAAGCTCACTGGCCTTTTTGAAAAGACCTTTACGGCGTTTTGAGAAACAGACTTGTCTATTTTCTTCTTTTTCTATAAGCTTTATATCAATCTTCTTACGGCCATTGCAGATTCTCTTCTTGACCTCGACGGGATTCATGATGTTTTGAGGGAGAAGAGTAAGACAAATCAGAAAAACAGAGAGTGCAGGGGAGATTAGGAGTTTCTGACTTTGTGAAATGCTAAGGAGTGACGCAGAGCAATAAGAAGAGGATGTAAAAATGTCCGTGAGATCCGAAAGAGAGAGATCGTAAGGGGAGATTAGAAGTTTTTGACTTCGTTGAATGCAGAAGAGTGTCGTTGAGGAATGCGGAGGAGTTATTTATAGACTCAAGAAATGTCTGTATTTTCTATTATTTTTAAAAATGTATTCGTCTTATATAATGGTTAATTTTTCTAACGGTTATTAGTTATTGCAGGTAATATTTGAAATTTTGGATAGGAAGATTGCGTTTATACACAGTGATTAATTTTTCTAATCATTACAGGGGAGATTTGAAATTTTTTCAACGTTAATTTCTTTTTTTAAAGGAGATTTCGGAATAATAGAGCAGGGAAGATTTTGAATTTTGTATAGGAGTATCGTGCTAATCTATAACGGCTAATTTAATAAACGTTCAATTTTTGAAAATGAGATTTCGAAATATGCATTGCAGAAAAAACAAAATTTTAAAAATACGCTAAATATCTAGCCATTCTATTTGAAAAAAAAAAAATTCGCTATCAAAGTTGTAAGAATAAAATTGTCAAAATTATTTCCATAGAGATGATCTTCGGCGACAAATAACAATCATGCTTTTATTGCACAATTTGGGTTCGGCTATATAAATTCTTTTTATTTTTTATTTTTTTGTTAAGAGTCAAATTTTTTTTTAAATCTAATAAAAAATTATTTTTTTTATATTTTCTAACTATTTTTTTTTACATCTACCTCTTTTTTCTTAACATAAGCAAAATTTAATACATCTATTTTTCTAACTGCAGAAGATCGACATTTTATGTGATCAACCTATCTAATAAGGTGACTAATCTTTTCTACCAGTGGAGCTACTACAATTTTTTTACGTGCATGTTCATTTTGCATTTTATCTCAAAGAGTAAAGCGACTTATCCACCTGACCATTCTCATCTCTACAACATTTAACTTTATTGTCTTGTAGTTTGTCTCAAAGAGAGATCTTCGATCGAGAAAAAAAATTAAATATTATATGCCATTCAATTGTCAATCTGATCAAAATAATTAGATTTTGATACAGATTTTCAAATGTCAAGTAAAAAAAAATTAGAAAATTTATTTCAAGATCATTCAAAAAAAATATTTAGCACTTCTTTTTAATTTTTTATTAAAATAAAAAAAGGAGTATATGAAACAATGTAGCAAAATGACAGAAAAACAAAAGAGAATACAAGGTAAAATCAATCCAAAGAGATCAGTAATCGGTGTTAGAGTATATCCTTAGTACATGTTACTTAACCTACTCCACTTAATGTTGACATGAGTAAGGTAGCACCTTCTCCTGCTGGTCAGCTGCGGTGTCAGCTTTTAGTCATTTTCTTACAGTATTGTCCCTGTATTTAGGCTTATATATTTGCCTTCATTTCACTAGAGAGACAATGAGATACATAGCTATTTTCTCCTGAAGCTTCCTTCTTCTCTGTTCTGTTCTGTTTGTATCTCCATTAATCTCTCAATGCAGGTCATGACGCAGAATGCTCTCATGGTATCAAAGCTCTAGGTCAGCTTCTTGTTTTTTTTCTTCAAATGGCGTCTCAAGGATCTTCCGCTTCTGCTCCAGTTGCATCCTCTCTCTCTGCCGCAATGGCAGAGATTTCTATCCCTTCTTCCTTAAAGTTTCTTGTGAGCAACTTGAAGCATATTGTGTCTACTTCACTCACAAATGAGAACTATCCCATCTGGCGTTTTCAAGTTTTCAAGCTTTTTTTCAGCAAATGTGTTTGAAGGTTATTTGACTGGAAGTGTCACTCCTCCAGCTGTTTCTGCTACATAACCAAATAACGCCAATTTTCATCTATGGAAGCTCGTTTATCAAAATTTTGTTTCAGCTTTATATATGCAATTTCAACTTTAGTTCTTCCATACATCCTTTCACTATCTACTGCTAATGAGATATGGATAACCTTGGAAAAACGACTTCAACCCAGAAATCGTTCTAGTGTAATTCAACATAAAAATGAGTTGCACCATATTCAAATGAAAGAGCTTACCATGACACAATATCTTGCTCAAGTTAAAGCTCGTATGGACAACATATCAGCTTCCGGAGGTCATATAGATGTTGAGGATGTTATTTTACATACATTAAATCACTTGCCGCATCTACAACCCATTAAAATCTGCTATCCGCACAACCCAGCAGATGGTTATTCTAGATGCACTGTATTCTCTTTTGTGCAGTGAAGAAATTAACTTACAAAATGAGCAGCAAAAGGAGGTTCCGCCTCCTTCAGATCACACTGCATTGTGGACAGCACGTTTTAACACACCCCGTGGCAGATTTTCCTCAAGAGCTAGAGGAAGAGGAGCTCCCTTCATAACAGGTTCTTCTGGACCAAATGCTTCATACACACAAAATTACAATAGCAATCGATCATCTATTCCGACTGTTATCCGTCCAAAATGCCAAATTTGTGGAAAGCTTGGTCATGTTGCTTTAAATTGTTGGCATCGTTGCAATATACGGTATGCTCCAACTTCTTCAACTGCCAACCAACGTGCCCTGCTCACCAACTCAAATAGCGACGTGACCTCTTCGATCACTAAATGGGTATTAGATTCTGATGCATCCTCTCATTTGACATCTAATGCTACTTAGCTACAGCAACCCACACCATATTTCGGAGTTGATTTCGTCTCTGTTGCTAGCTAAAATACTCTTCCAATTCAACATACTAGGCAAGGAGTCCTTCCTATTCCCAATACTAACTGTAAGCTTTGTCTTAAAAATCTTCTACATGTTCCACTTCTTTCTCATAATCTTCTTTAACAAATTAACTTCTGATAATAATTATTTTATATTGTTTGATGCTCATGGTTTTCTTATTAAGGATCTCTCGGACAATAGAATCCTTCTTTGTGATCATTCACGAGATGGTCTTAATCCTATTCCAATGGTTTCTACTGCTTCTCCTTAAGCTTTGCAATCCACGGTTTTCTTACCCGAGCCATAGCATGCACGTATTGGTCATTCGAATCTTTGGATTTTACAATTTCTTTCTAATATAGTTCCATCTATATGTACTCCTTCTACCTTTATATGTACGTCTTGTAATGTGGCAAAGAGTCACAAGTTACCTTTTACTTCATCTACTAGTCATGTACTTAAACCCTTTCAATTAAGACATTCTGACATTTGGGGACCAGCTCCTGTATCATCTTTTAATGGTTTTGTTATTATATTCTGTTTATAGACGATCACACAAGATATAATTGGATTTATCTTATGCATTCTAAACATGAGTCATTCTCAAAATTTTAGCATTTTCACCAACTTATAAAGAACTCCTTTAATACTTCCATTCAAACTCTAAGAATAGATGGTGGCGGAGAGTACACAAGAACTCTTTTTCGCACTTACTTAACTCAGCATGGTATCACTCACAAATTCCGCTACCCTTAAACACCTGAACATAATGGACTTGCAAAACGTAAGCATCGTCATCTTCTTGAAACAACTAAAGCACTTCTTCATAATGCTCATCTTCCACAATTTTTTTGAGCTGAAGCTCTCTTAACCTCCAACTATCTTATTAACATCTTACCAGCCAAAGCTTGTTGTCTTCAAATTCTTTATCAACTAGTATATGGCACATTAGCATCCTACAACCATTTGAGAACATTTGGTTGTCTCTGCTTCCCTTGGCTTCAACCACTTTCAAAAAATAAATTATCATCTCATTCTCATGAGTGCATATTCCTGGGTTACTCTACTTCTCACTAGGGTTATCATTGTCTAAATTCACAAGCCAACCGAATCTATGTCTCTCGTCATGTTGTTTTCTATGAACTGTTAACCTCATTTTTGTATGAGGTCATTAATGACCCACCCAGACTCTAGATTAATCCTAATCACATATCAATTTAATCTCCAGACCAATCTAGACTCTAGGATCCTCCTAGAATCTATACCTTAGGATATATTCTAGATCCTAAGATCCTTCTAGACTCCAAATCAATCCAGGCCCTAGGATCCACTATAGACCCTAGGATTCTTCCAGATCAACCTAAACTCTAGGATTCTCCTAGATCCAGATCTTAGGACCTATTTTAGGTCCTAGGATTCTTCTAGACCCCAGGCCCTGAAACTTTTAAATTCTACTAGAGTCCCTCTAGATTCTAGAACCAATCCAAATTCAAATTAATCCAAACACCTGATTAATTTAAATCATAAACCAATCTAGGCTTCAAACCAATCTTTACCTTAAGCCAATCAGGATATCAATTCAATTCAAACTTCAATTAAATCCAAATTTCAGACATATTCAGACTTTGAACTCCTCCTGGTCCGAACTCAAGTTCAAATCTTAATCCTACCTTTGATCTAGTTCAATCCTACCCTATCACTTATGATCATCCAAATGATCAATGATCATAAATGATATGGATAGATCAAATCCATAATCCAACTCAAATCCAAAAAAATCCAGAGCCAAATTCATGAGTAAAAGGCTAAGTCCTAAAAGACTTTTTCAGTGAATTTTCAAATACTTCAAAATCCAATTAAACGACCTCTGATTCAGAGTCTGGCAGTTGCATACTGATATGACATGTCTCTGGAGGCAACCCTCCGAATTTGAGCCCATTCTGAGGTCTCTAACCCCAGAAATTGAATTAATTTTCAAAGGCTATAAACCTTCAAATATTTACAACCTATGCCGCTGGACCTGCCACCCAGTGGATTTTGACCTTGGAGCTTTCTACAAAGCCTCCAATCACTTCCAAACCATTAATCCTGACCCATTGAACATTAAACTGCATTTTTTTTTACCCACTTTGACCCCCAGTTGACCAGGGGTCAAAATCACCAAAATACCCCTTAGGGGGGCTCAAATATCAATTTCAAACCAAATAAACTCCAAATC